AGAGTATCAGAACTGCAAAAAAAATGGCACATTTTGAAATATGGTGCGCCAAGTCTTGGCACACCATATTCAAAAACCATATAAAGGTCGTTCTACATTATTTGCAAATTACAAAATCGTAAGAAAATTTACCAATTACAATCGATCGTTTTTCTTACGACCAAAGAAGAATTGACTGTGATTGATCAATTTTCTTGCGACCTTGAGACTTGCAACTAATGTAGAATCGGCCTTAAATAACCATCTTTTCTGCATTGGCGTCGCAATGTCCAAATCCGTACATGTTTATGCCATTCAATCAACTGGTCACTTAACCATGTTGGCGATTCTCTTTACTAGAGGTTCTCTAGGGCTGCGTTCCAAAACTTTACTCGACGGGTAGAGTAGCATTTAATTGACCAATAAATGCAAAGATAATTAAGACTTCTTTATCATGATTGGACAATTAAATATACTCTACCCGTCGAATAGAGTTTTGAAACGCATTCCAGGTGATAGGCAACAGTTTCTGCTTTTCTACCAATACGAGTTCTAATTGGCTTCTGTCTTTTTGTTTTCTACCAAGATGTGAATTCTCTCTTTGTTTGATAATATGAACATAGAAAAAAAATTTCGTTGTCATACATTGGCAAAGTTCTCTCTCTCTCTCTCAATATGGCTTCAGGCACATTGGCAAAGTTGGTCTTGTACGCCGGGATTTATGGCTTCTGCACACAGGATGCGGTAATGCTTGCCGCACGGCGAGAGTTCGCGCGACAAACATTACCGCGTCCTATGTGCAGGAGCCATTAGGCCAAGGCCTGTTCCATGGACGTAGTATACATGGACCTCGCATATGGTCAGAAAGTGAAGCCAACATGTAGAAAGAGATCACAGACATAATATGCATAAGTATACAGTACTTAAGATGATCTTAAATATAAGATCGGACTATGAATACCGGCCTACTTCTATTGTAGACTCCGTTTAAGGCTGCGTTCAGATTCCTTACCCGGGTGCACTCTAATACAAGAAGTGCTATAGTATATGTGACATATACTATAGTGTTTTTAGTAACAGAGTGCACCCGGGTAGGGAATCTGAACATACCCTAAAAGTGTCAAAAATGTAAGCAACGTGAATAAACCGTTCGATTTGAGGAATTCTGTTTGTATTCAAAAAATAGCGTTTCGTAGCGGAGACTTTGGAACTACTTTGCAACGTCCGTATAAATATAACGAGTCTAATAATTTCGTAGGCCCGTTATTTGCAGTAAAAATCCGAGGGTGGTATTAGAAACTATTCAGAAAGTTATTTGATTGGAATCGTTCAATTATTCCCTAGAAAGTTTGTGTATCTGTACTGTCAAGATATATTAATATTCGTTGTATCGTAGCGTAGAAAAGTGATTGAATTTGTTACCACAGAAAATTTTTAGGTTATCTTTTTAATTTTGTAGAAAGTTACGAATGTCGCAGTCTGTTTCTCGTAATATCAAAAAATGCATTCGATACCGTCGATTTGTATCCGCGATAGTGAAATAATGAAATAAGATCAATTTCGTGTACCGCCTCGATACTTTGTGACTGAGATGGATGACAAATTGAAGCTTTCCAACCACGAAACAGATTGTACGGGAAAATGTGATGACGTTAATTTTATTACAAAGCTAGATATTCGATTAACTGAGGGTACGTAAACGTGTATTTGCGTAATGTTTTTCTTCTTTAACTTCAGATATAAAATATGATTCTCCTATTTCTCTTTCTATATGCTATTAAAAAATTTTTTATATGTATACATTGACTACAAAAAAAATTATTTTATTCAATATGTAGATACTAATATATTTTTGTATGTGACTAGGCTTGACGATGCAAAATAGTGTTTTGCAAATCCAAAGTAATCATTATGGTAATAACATATATAGAAGTAAAAGTGATTCAGTATTATGGAAAAAAGATAACAAAGGACTGAAATTAGACAGACCGATGAATGACAGTATTAATTTAATGATTAATTTTGGTATTGACAAATCTGTTTCCAACATTCCTGGTGCAAAACTTCAAGGATGTCGTCAGTTACTTAACAGTGATATCAGCTTTTTGTACAATGATAGATCTTTTCATAGTTTGCTTTCCAAACGTACCAGTCTTTCTTTACCTGCAATATCAATATCATCTGTGAATGCATTTACAGTGAAAGATGAATATGATAATAATATATATATGTACAGAAGTACAAGAACATGTCTTGACGAAGAAGAAACTGTATTTAATCAGCCTAGAGAAATAAAGAATCTTCCATCTGATTTGCAATGCCCTACGAATAAAAACAATATTAATGTTTATAAAAGTGAGTCATTGGAAGCTGAATATAATAAAAATGATTTTAAGGAAAGTACTGTAGCAAATAATATATCAAAAATTGAAGAACCTTGCAAAATGATAGTAGATTCGCAATTAGAGACAAATAACATTGAGACTTCAAATGAGAAATCTCAAAGTTGTGAAAATCCACATAAGGATAATGAATTGAACTCGATTCCGACGATGAATACACACGTGCGAAGTAACTTAAAGTCCCGACCGACGTTAGCTGATGATAGTAAACTTGTTAAAATGTCACTTCTGACAAATCCAATGAACATAATGCAGTCAAATGTTCAGCTTTTAAATAGAAGTCGTAATTTTTTAAACTTCATAACAGAAAAATCAACAAACATTATGGAGAAAGCTTTACTACCACAACATTTGGCAATGAGATATAATCACATGTCGAAATCTGTTGAAACCGATACTGTGGGAGGAGCACTTGGTACTACTAATGAATTCCCTTTGGGAAATGTAACAAGTAAATCAGATGCAATTTTAATAACAAATTCAAATAATATTTCTAATGCAACAAATTGCATGGTAAAACAAGATCATGACAAGAGCAAAGATAAATTGGATGGTGCAACAAATAATAGAAACGAAGTCAATCCATTTGCATCTATAAAAGAGAAAATATACGATCTTGAAGGTGAAATAGTATCAAATGAGAAGGAGTATATTCTTGATAAAAATAACATAGATGAATTAGATTGCAATATTACCAATGAACAGGCAAAGCGCGATTTTTCATTGACAGAAACGAATAAAAGAAACTTCTTGCAGATAGAGAAATTACACGACAACATGTGTAAAACAGAATCGCTTGATACTCGCACCTTGCTAGATTCAGATATTTCGAAATATGGTTCATTAGATCATCCGTTGCATCGTATGCTGTTAGAGGATTACACCAATTTAAAAATCAAGCACTTTAAAAGTCAGGCAAAGTTATTAGAGAAAATAGATAGTCTAGAGAAATCGTATCGATCGGATAGGGAAGCGCATACAAATACAGATGCATATAACTTGCAAGTAGGGAACTTAGAAAAAGCTGTAACTAAATTAACAACCGATCTGAACGCGTCACTGGTCACGCAAGAAGCCCTGAAGAACGAATGTACCGCGGTAAATAAAGAGAGAGAAAATATGGTTATGAAATATGTAATTAGTGAGAAACAATTGATTGATTCGCAAAGGTACGCACAACAACCACAACCATATAATTTAGCCATATTACATTTTTTAGACATTATCTTAGACGAAACTTGTAACAATGTAGAAGTTTAATTATTTGTAACATATATAACAGAGCGAGAGATTCCGCAGAACGTAAAGTTAAAGAACTTCTGAAGGATCAGGAAGCATTACAATATAAGTTACGTCAAACGCAAGGTGAGCGTACAAGAATATGTAACATTCTGGACGCAGGACGTCGTGAAATAGTTGATCATCAAAAAGAGATAGAGAAATTAAAAGAGGATGCTAAAACAAAGGAAGTCCAACTAAAGTGGACACAAACTAAACTTAGGACTGAAATGGAATTGCAGAAGGATACTCAACAGAAACTGGACAAAGCTTTGGTAAAATAGACTGCAATTTTGTTTTTTACATGACCATAGGGAACGAAATTCTTCAATAGAATATAAATATTTAGATGTATGTTGCAGATAAAAATTAATGACATGAAAGAAGAATGCGAGCAGATACGTCGCGAGACGCAAGAATCATTCCGTAAATTTCAGCAGTCCGAAGAGAACAAAGCTGTGACATTAGATCAACAATTGAAGGAGCATCGAGCGCGTTTAATCTTAGAGAGGCACGTTACGGAAGATAAAGAAACACTGAGACTTCAGTTACAAAAAGAACTGGAAATTCTGAAGTCTAGACAACAAGATTTGATCGAAGAAAATAAGAGGCTTAACTTGAAAGTTCAAGATTCTGAGAAAGTTTGGTTGAGCTATGAAAACAATTTGAGTGATTTAAAAAATGTGGCGAAACAACGTCAAGAACAAATTACCGAATTATCAAACAAAGTTTCTCATTTAGAGACATTAAAACTTCAATTGCAACAGTAAGTATATTATGTTAATATTTTTTTTATTTATATTCTTGGAATTTACGATGTTTGATGAAATTTTATTAACTAAATAGAGAATATTTAAAGTTTCTTACCTTATATATCTTTCAATGAATATATTTGAAGAAATGGATTTTTAAATGGAAAATATTAATTTTATTTATGCAGTAAAGAAGAGTATATTGCGTCGGTCGAAGTTGAAATACAGCAATTACGATCGGCTAACGAGGAAATGCAAGCCGACATGCAAGCATGTCGTCAAAAAGAGGCGAATATGTTGGACTTTACGCAAAAATTAACGGACAAAAACGTGCGTCTTCAATCCGAGTTTATCGCGATTCAAAGGAAAGCGGATTATCTCGAATCCGAACACGGTCCATTACGCGACTGTATTAACGAATTAACTAATAAAGTAAAAGTTTTGGAAAGAGACTTTATAGAAGAACAAAAAAAACGAAGAGAAGAGTGTGAGATTTTGGCTAAGCATGTCGCCGAACAAACCCAACTTGCGCAAAACATTGCCCAGAAATTGGAGGATAGTCAAGGTGAAAATGCAGTATTAAAGAGGAAACATCAAGTTTCGATCAAGGAGATGACACGAGAATTACAGCAATGCCGTAGAAAATTAGAAGTGTTTGAAGCCGCATCTCCTACTAATTCCTTGGATATTACATCCAGGACTGGGTCTAATACTTCTTTGAATACAGGTTCGATATCAATAAATATTTGAATATTGAAATACAGTTTTTTATATAAGTCAATTCTAAATGATTGAAATAGTTTTATTATTCGTATATTTTTTCCAGGCGATACATTAAACGGTGCCTTATCGGATAACAATGCTAATAGCGACCATACTCATCCTATACCTAATAAACAAATATTAATGGATCACATTATAAAATTACAAGAAATAAACGCAAAAAGAGCCGAGAAACTTGATTTTTTAGAGGGACATACTCAAGTATTGGTCGAGGAACTAAAGAAAAAAGAGAAAATCATACAAAACTATATTTTACAACAAAACTTTGGAGCTTTGGGATGTAACGAAAGAGATAAACACAAGGTACAAGCACTTGTTTAATTAATTACACCTGAATACGTGAACATCAATGTCATAAAAATGATCACTTGAACTACCTTTTAATACATTTGCATAAAATATAATTTTATTTAAAAGTTGGAGGTTTAATTTGGGAACTGATAAATATACAGAGTATATGACATATTTGGTTTTTTTATATTTATATTCCTTAAATAAAGATAAATTGATACAAAACTATATTAAATTGTGTCAATAATAGAAATTATTTTTTATAATCAAGCATATCAAAAGCAGAAGGGATGCAGTAAGTGTGAGAAAATAAATAATATATGTATTAGAATATATCGTACACACACACACACATACAGAAAAAGTATAAGTCAAGCAGTATTAAATACTGAGAAATATTAAATGAAATATACAGTCTTGTTTATTATTATACATGAATAAATATACATACTGTTTTTTAACCATATAGGCGGAATTGGCGCGACATGGAGGTATAATGGCATCTGTTTACAATCATCGAGTTTCAGACGAGAATATGACTCTAGAACTTTCTTTAGAAATAAACCAAAAGTTACAAGCAGTTCTTGAAGATGTATTATTGAAAAACATCACTCTGAAGGTACATACGTCGGATAAAAATTATAAATGAAAAATTATTATATTCATTAATTATTAATTTATTAAGAAACACGTTAAATATACAGTGATATATACAGGGCGGCACCCTGTGTATATATACACACACACACACACGCACACACATACATATATACTATTACAGTACATATATATTATATATATCGTTCTCTAAGATTTATATAATGCTATAAATTTAATATTCTATCATGCTATTTTCTTTTATCTTTACAGGACAATATTGATACATTAGGTAAGGAGATAGCAAGATTAACAATGCAGTTTCAACAAAGTCAAATCGAAAATTAATAATTGTTACATATATAGGTGCATACATATGTGTGCGTGTATATACACACACATATATATATATATATATTGTAGAGAATTGTGTATAAATGATTCAACGGCATTTCACTTATTATTGTTTTAAGTTGCGTTAAATAACTTGTTATTTTTGTCACTCTGCTATAGATTGCATCAGATATATATATATATATATATATATATATATATATATATATATATATATATATATTTGATGTTATATTTAATATAATAAATTCTTATCTTAAAATCAGTGTCTCCTGTTTTGTGAGAAATATAAATTTTAGTGTTAAGAAATTCGGGAGGTGTCAAGGTAACAAACCACGAACTTGGTAAATAAATGTTTATTTGCAAGTTTAACTAAATTAATTTAGTTTCTAGAGTACTTACATCTAGAGGCACTAGTCAAGCTTAAAATCTAGCTGACTACAACTTTATATATCATACCCGATGACTAATATGTTGATCTACGCTCAGGTTCTCAAACACAGTTGATGAACGAGCGTGTAACAGGTGAAAGATTGCGAATCGAAGTGAAATCTCGACTAAACCTAGTTTAATATTAGGTATCTTTAAATTTACTTTGAATTGTTTATTTTGAGTATTTTGAATGTGAGCGATTAGATTAGTGTACATAAGATATTCGCTAATATAATTTTTATGGAAGAAGAGATCAAGGGAACCAATATACGTGGTTTTCCCCTGTAAGATTATTGTTGATCAATGTGTGACAGACGCTATAAAACTGCATACTCATTCCTTGTATTGCGTATTTAATGATCAAATTCATTTGCACGTCGTGCGCTTCTAATATTCACCGTCAGCTATGATAGCTAATGTTGCTTTTGAAGGTTGTCTTTTTTTTTTAAATAATCGAGAAGATCGTAAAGTGCTACATGATACTGACAACTAATACTGCAATAATAGAGTATAAGAGAACGTCAGTAGACGTAATAAGGTAGATTTAATATATTTACTTTAGTTATTTTAAGTGTTATATACGATAAAGAATTGCTATAGAAATAATTAATGCCTGCTTGAAATTTTATGCCATACGATTTCTCTTTACGGCACATTGTAACCATGTTTTATAGTTAATTCCGCCATTTTCAAGTTTTGTGGACGTGCACTTATATGATACAAAAAACATTACGCGTGTAATTAAAATAGGGCTTATTTATTTCAATAATTTATTTCAATAATTTATTTTTTAATGAAAAAGAGATTTTGACTTATCTTTTCAGTTTAATTCCATACTAATTTCGATGTCCTCATTATTTTCATAGAATACTATACGATCGAGTTTTTATATCTCTTCTTTTTGTTCTAAGAAATAAATGGAGATTTCCATTTAATTCTTTTAATATTCTTTCGTATTTTTCGTTCTTTTTTCAATAAAAGTCTGATGTATATATCTACAGGAAAATTACATATTCTTTTTTCTTTACATACGTTTTCTTTGAGAAAACATAATTCATTTTGCACTGGTTTCAAACAGGCATAACTTTAACGTCCAAATCCGTTTACTACTCTCGTGATTACTTCCGTGCTACATGCCGTGTGAAATAGACAAGATTTCTAGAGCAACCTTCTAGTGTTAAGTAGTTTAAGAATCGAATTACAATCGATCAATGGAACGCCCGATTAATATTTAGGAAAGACAAACATACGAAAAACAAGGTGTCGAGGAAACTGTAGCAGCAAAATTCGAAGAGTAAGATTAGAGAATAAAGAAATAATTATTCAAAATTTCGAAAATACATTATCAACGAAAATACATTATCAACGAAATAATAAATTAATTTTGAAATATAAATATCATATTCACATTACGAAGTATTCATTACGTGGAATAGCTAGTATGTTGAATTATAATATATGGACAATGTTACTAACTATGCCATGGTTACGAATACATTCGCGATTAAGAAAAACAAAGTACGTGAAATCACGAATCACGGTACAATCGAAAACTAGGTAATACCCGAGTGTAAAAATATCCCACATTTTTAATCTGTGTTTTTACACGTAGAATTATCGCTTTTTCCATTGTACCATATATCACGTCTCGATAGAATATATAATGTGAACAATATGTTCATAAGTCATAATAAACAACACATTTTGATGTTTTTAACGTAGAAAATAAATAGAACGCAACCTTTTTAGTATAATTAAAGCGCGTCGTTTTACAGTGAACAATAATTATACGAATCATATATATATATACGGCAATAAGATATGTTTTTAATACTGGATAGTTAAATAAACATTACAAATTCGAATGTAACATATAAACCGTACTTGCTAGTCTTGCTTTCTCAGAGCTTAATCGAATAACTGATAGATCACGCGATCATGCGTAAATGAACACGTATTGCCAATCGTTGTTGGTATTATCCATTTGTTACATTCGAATTCGATATGTATATTTAGCAAACAAACTTTGAGCTAACTTAAAGCTGTCCTAACAAAATAATTATTTTGTATTTTTTGTATAATCTATTCAATCGCTGCATCTATGCTGCAAGTGTCTACTGAAAATAGTTTCTTATGGTTTCATCCGTTAATTGTTCAAAACTATACAGTCGGATATATACGGTGTATTCTGTAATTAGCGACATAATCATCAGGAAGAAAAATGGAAAAATCTCTTACATGAAAATATAAATCGAAAATACAGAGTAAATTATTCTTTCTAAACGATGCTTCGCTTTCAAAAAAGAGAAAAATTTCACATATTGAAAAATAAATATCTCCTTCTTTTCTCACAATTAAACATATCACAACATATTACAATTAAAATAATCTTCAACTTTTCTTATTCGTTTCACTCCATATTCTCGGTTTATTTTTTGGCTCCTGTAGACTTATATTTAACTTGTCTCTCATATATGCGTATCTTCTCGTTTGTATCACCAGTTATGGGACGACGTACGCGTATGTATATGTATATAAGCGCTATATTAGCGAAACTTGCCCTCAACTACACCATCAACATTCGTGAAGAATTGAGAGCGATACAGTATCGTGATACAATACAACTGTTGAAATGCCACCTTCACGGACAGTACATCACCAATTTTGGCTAGCAACTCACTAGATTCGTGTGATAGTGAGGCATTCCTTTTCGTCAGATATCGAAGTTCGACTGTATCGTTCTTTCGAATGTACTCTTATCAGAATAATTCTTATTAAAAAACTAGAGAACACAGACGAAGATAAAGTAAAATTCGTTGAGCCATTGGTGCGTATCGCGCTTGGCACGAATACAGGACTGGTATCATTAACATCATTGCGAACCAACTCTTTATCATCGCACGCAATCTATTAGATATGTGCATGTAAAGAAGAAAATACTGTATTTTAAATCTACATAGAGAGCAAGAAAATAAGTTACTTTTTGGACAATATTCTGTCTCACTTGTTACTAACTCAAATGTAGTAATTTCGAACACAAGTGTATCAATTTCCTCCACTGATTGCAAAAATGAAAAAAGAAAATGGAACTGCTTGACATTTATCTTAGAGACATGTATCGGAACGATTGCGTGTGCCACTTACGTTTAAGTTAAATTTCTACGCTTATGTGTTAAGTTCTTTCTCTCTTTTTGTCTTCCTCTCTAACTCCACAAAGATATACCTGCTCGAGAAAATAATGCTTAATGTTTCGCTAACAGTCGCCTATATTGCAATTCCAAAAAAATAAATTTTTGGTGTCTCTTGTTCATTTTGGCTTAAATAAAATGAACCGAGTTCTTTATGCAAAACTGGACCAGCACCGGGCAGTGTGTCACTACGGCAGAATTGCATTAATTGTAATACTGGCACAGTGAGGCAATGACCTTAGGATTCTCTAGATACACTATTTTGATACTTATTAACGTATTTATCTGAAAAACTATATAATTGCATGTCACGCGCACAAGTAATTATTATCATATTCTTTTTTTTTATCGCTCATTCTCGTTCACTTAATTTCTACACAGGATGTGTCGCACAAAGTGTATTTCTTTTGGAACCGTGTATTTTTCGGCCAATCTTGAGTCGACTTTTTCTTTACAAAAGTGTACCCTACCGTTCGTATTTTTTAATTAATTTCAAGTTGATTCTAATGTGACAGGACTTTATAATTCAAAGGTTAAAGATGTATAATATTATTAGAAATGGATTATAATATTAGAAATGGAAAAAGTTTCAATGAACTATCTTTTTTATGACGTTCTTGCTAAGAAAAAACTGACTCAAAACTGAAACAAGTCTACAGTCCAAAGTAAATCTACTTGATGCAAAATATCCTGTACATTGAAGTAATAAATAATCACTACATTGCACTGTGTGGCTGCGGACAGTTGCAAGTTTTATAACGAAATACACGAATGTACATTACGATTCTAATTATATATTAAAATTGGTAATCCTAATATTAAAACACGATTCATTTTTAACTCGTTCTCAAAGAGATTTCTACGCGATATTTAATATTCTTCACTATAGAAAATATATATGTTAAAAACAAAAAAGAAATTGGATGCATTTTCAAATGTAATTCTAGTTCTAATGAGAATAGCAGATAATTGAGAACGCCGTTGGTCGCCACTAATAATGGAAAAATTGTAATTAATATATTAATATTGATGAGAGACATACTGTCCGTCTTTTTCGCTGAACTTCGCGACGAAGTTGGTATCTTTTACTGATTAAGATCCATTTCTCAGATCTGAATTCAATCACAGCCGTTGAAGGTGCAAAGTGTCGCGACTTAACTCGTTGCTACGATACCTATGCCCTACAAAAAGACCCCAGATAGCATTTCGTAAACCGATAGCAAAGTTCTGAATTTCAGACACTTTGAGATATATCACTCACGATTAACGTGGATTTTTCGTGCACACTTACGCAAAGATATGTTCATTGTGTATAATACATGATGTTCATGTCATCGTGCGTATAGTGCGCGTTTGAGATGCATTGTACCGAACTTCAAATTACAATTCTCCTAAGATTGCGATTATACTTGTTGTATAATTTGCATATCTCTGACATAGAGTAGAATGTTATCTGGGTGTATTGTAGATGCAATGCGTTTATATATAACATACTAGTATATTGCCTATTAATACTATTTTAATTTAAAAACTATTCGAAGTGATTTTGGACATTAATTGTTTACATTACGAGAACGGACAAATGGAAATAATATATATGTATATACAAAGCAACAAAATTGTTTTGCATAAGAGAAAGATCGTTTGTACGTTAGAGTCCGTTAGATAAATCTTATTTACTCGTTCTTCGGATAGTTTATCGAAATTAGAAATGTGTCCAAAAACAGAAAATAATACATATTATACGGACCATGCTAGTACTATGAAATTCCATTATGGATATGTGCTGAGTCGACTTTACATCTATAATTATCGCTGGTTGTGTGAGACACGTCAAAATAACATAAGCTTTAAGTCCTGGTGCGCACTTCTCTATCGACTACATTGTGTCGAACTAAATTGTTGTTGTAATAATTGATAAAACAGATGATCTGTAATACACCTTGAACACGATGAATATATTGAGATCATACACGGCGCAAGATGGAATACATGCGCGAGATCCTACGATTTATGCTTTACTGATACCAAATTCTGCCATATTATGACACGCCGAACGAGCGATCTATTTTGCACTAGGAACTACATACTCCACAACTTGACTCTTTTCGTTACTTCGCAGGATGTTACTATTACTCTGATTTAGTCAGATATCGACTTCGAACATATCCTGTTCAATCGGTTTTTTCACCCAACTTCCAAGCTGCGCTCTCACAAAAGCGTCCTTCAATTGACGTTTAGCAAGCTATTTAAAAGGAAAGAAGAAGAAGAAACGGAATACGATAGTAAGTACTGATATTTCATTATATATACATACACGCGCGCACACACACGCGCACACATACACACATGTATTAAGATACATACGATATGTATTATTTTTGTAAACGAAATAATCACACTTACCGAGTAGTCCTGTACCGACGATTTCGCATCAAGATAATGACGGCAACGATTTTCATCAACATCTTCTATGGTTGGAAGTTTACCTAAGAGATTGAAAAACCTTCTAAAGAATGCCTGCTTAGATATTCTGGAAGGTTTACCCAACTCGTCTTTTCCAGTCGTGCAATTTATGACTTCAGCTTCGATCTGCCCTAAAATGTCCAACGACAAAGAAGTGCTCGTTAAATTAACTGTACACTTAATGCATTGAGATTAAGAACATTTACAAACCGATCGTCCAATTGACGCTGTAATTAGGAGCTTTTCCAGGTTGTCTGACCTCAGATGATGTGATTAAACTCATTAATGGTTTGTTAAGTCTATACGGTGGTGGTAAACCCTGAATAGTATTTTCGATACGACCGCATACTGCTCTGTACATATGACTGGGGTTCAAAAGACTGCCGAGAACAATGCTGTGGAAGTAAATTGGCTCGATGAAGTGGCTTAGAAGCGCGCCTTGCACACCAAGTACGTTCCATCGAGCTATTTTGTCCGAACACGACATCGTCAGCAGTCTTTGACCCTAAAATTTAAAGAAGACATGCGTGAGAAACGATGGAAAGATGTTTTTCCTCTTGTCAAGATTATCGACGATTATGTAAGTTTCGCTTACCATCAAGACGCCATCCCAGGTTTGAATACCTTCGTTGCTCTTGACAGGAATAGTCCCTTCGCCAGATTCTATCTTTGTACGTAATTGACCTCTTGCTCGCCTATTGGGATGTTTGTCTACGGATTCGTTTTCTTCGTGAGGCGAGAAGATCCTCGCGTCTCCGCAGGGGGCGGTATTTATGTACAAATGAAATTGGATGCCTTGCTTTAATTTGAATCCTTTCTTAGCTGGCTCGAGAATCGATTCCATGCTGTTATCCTCAGCGTGGAGTTCTAGTTGCTTATATAAATATTCACAAAGACATCGGCGTGCTACCACCTCCGCATGACAATCGTTGACAGCACCACCGCTAACGCTCAAATGTTCACCCGACACGCATTTCGTACCTTTTATCCAAAAAAGAAAAATGTTTTAATAGACGTTTTACACGCGCATACTTTTGGGAAATGCCTCAAAATAGCTTAAAGATCATAAGTGATGTAAAATTGCGCCTTACCAGTAGTAACGCATATCAGTTCGGCATCTGTTCCTTTTGTTTGCACAATACCGGCTAGAACCTTACGTCGTGCATGCTGTGGTTTGCTTTGTATGAGTTCACTAAATTTCTGGTTTACCATCTTGCCAATTTTGTCAGCTAGCATTTGCGGCAAAGTCATCTGTTCCTGCCAGTGTGCTGAATTGGAAAAGTTGGGCAAGATACGAACAGGGAGCGGTATACAAAACGAGGAACTGTGAACATTTCGCAATTTCGCTAATGCGGCTTTACTTGCTGCTGCTTTCGCTAGCTTCTTACTCGGGCCCGTCCCTTCGAACGTCTCTCCGTCAATAGTTACGGATATTGTGAATTTCGCGTAACTTTCTCCGTTATCGGATATGCAGTTGTATATAACGCCCGGATAGAGTTCGTTGATCAACGCTACTGGACCTTTATCTAAAAACTTACTCGTATTTTTTGGCTCTTGCGTTAATGTTTTAAATGCATTGACAAGATGGTTATCACGTTCAGTTACGTCGCTCGTGAAATCCGGCTCGAGAGATACAACAGATGGGCAAGTATTGATAGCCTGATGAACCTCCGGTGTATTTCTAAACTGTATGATGTTCCGTAGAGCAAGTTCCGCGGCTGCATGTTTTGCCATTTTCTTAGTGCGTCCTTTCCCTTCGTACGTTTGCCCATCGATTTGCACGGCAATCGTGAATATTGGAGCATGAGTGGGCCCAGTCTGACCCACCACTTTGTAAATAGCTCCAGTTTTTAGCTCATTCAAAGCGCATACTGCATTTTTCGGCTGTGGATTCTTATGACGTCTCTTAGCGTTGGTGACATCTAATTAAATAATAAATCAATACCAATTATATTATTGCAATAAATTTAGAGTTAAAGTAATCTGTGCAGCATATACGATATGAAATATTAATGTATACACATGAAATCATTGATCACTGACCTTCTATATCAGCTTCTGATGCCCTCTTAAGGACAGCTTTTGGCAAATTTCCTTGCCCCATCTGTGAAATAAAGTCATGAGACAACAATTGTAACTAATGCTTTATTCCAATAAGCAAACAGCTTTTTATTTTGGGCTTTGCATTGCATTAGTTATACACTGGCAAAAAAGATCAAAAGTGCAGATTTAAAAAAACTTGTAACTTGTGACATGTTCTTCAAACTTTAATTTTAATATTACTCCAATTTTGGTAAAGTGTTATTTTGTGCAATATAGAATAAGCAAATTTTCTTCTCTGTTACCAAGGAACTAAGATAATGTCAACAATTGTCGATAGATGTTTAGAGTAAGCGAACCTATTTTGGAACAGCACCTATTTCGAAACACTTTAATTTTTTTCCTGTATTAGCTGTCAAATAATATCAAATTTTCATGTTAGTAACAAAGAACACGTTCTTTGTTACTAACATGAAAATTTGATATTATTTGATGGCTAATACAAGAAAAAAATTAAAGTGTTTCGAAATAGATGCTATTCCGAAATAGGCTCGCTTACTCTATTATACACTGAGAAGCACAAAGTGATAATTTAGAAAAGATAGAAAGGCGCTTAGCAGAATAGCAGTTCCAGATTGCTATATGCTGACTTTAAAATCATTCACCTTTAGTTGGTGTCGCGGTCCAGCACACAACGTGCCAAATCAAGGGTTATCCTTCCTCACAGGCAGGTATTTTTGTTTTGAGTTTTGTTCTATGCCACTCATTGTGATGCATAATAAATAATAAATACAAATAATTTGAAATACAGCCAATATCAAATAGAAAGATCAAACTCACAACACCGACTAAAGGTTATATCAGTGAATGACAGAGATATTTTGTTACTGTGGAGTTATCTCATGTTAAATTTTAATTTTTAACACCAGTAGATTCTTAACTGAGATTGGCTTGGATCGTGCTCTGGGATACAATTAATTTTCGTCAATTCACGTTTTATCGTAATAATGTATCATGTATATGATTACAAAAATTCTCAATTCACTATATTTCGTTTATACAGGCTCTACAGATCCAATATGGATATAGATATATTTCTGACAGAACACAAGTTAGAAGTATGTCCAAGAAGCTAGAAGTATTCCAAACCACGTTGTCAAAGTGCTAATAACAACGGAATATTTCTTTACAACGTTATCGCTTTTTAAGTCCTCGAGATAACCTAAGTTATCTCTATTAACAGGTGGGAAGTCTTCCTTATCGTATAACTCGTTATATATAGTTGCAAGATTTCAACTCACCAGTGCTGTATTTCCATTCTGTGGACTTTCTGTTATACTAATATTAGTAGCAACCATTGGGGTGTCGCACCCTGAAAAATCGTGGAACATATAAACAAGCGAAGATAGTACAAGTAATTGTGGAAAATCAATAGAGCCATTTCTCGTACTTGTCTGACTCGATTGTTCGTTGTTATTTAGCAACGCCAGTCCAGTTGACATGGTGCGTCTCGCTTAGAAAAACTCGAAAATGCACGGGCGAAAATAAACGCTCGCAAGATACCGCGCGCACTATATGTACTTACATTGATTTTAATTATATTCTGATACTACGAAAATCCGCAGCGCCATTGCCGTTTTTTCGCACAAGCGCTCTAACCTAACCTAACGTAATCCGCAAGCCCAGCCTTACGTTTATCCGTCGCCGTCAAGCACAGTTTAAATGCGATCGAAGTAAGTGCGTTATCGTGGCCTTACCATATCATTTTTAGTCGTTTTCGGAACGAACGCATCATATTCAAATATTTATATCGCAACCTCAAATAATCAATAAAGATATAATCTGGCGTTCTGCAATCAATAATCACGAGCCGCAAGTATCCAAGGACAACGCGTTCTATTCGAGAATACTTAAATCGAAGTTTCCAGGGCATATATTATAAAACTCCACAGAACCGATTTCGCGACTGGAATAATTCCGTTTCCCCTAGAAAAGACAATAGAAATCTAGTGAATAGCGTAAATGTTCCGGTCGGAATCGATTCTGAAGAATTCATATATTTGAAGAATTTGTATATTCTTTAGTTTGCGATTCTAAAGAAATTCGTAATAAGTGCCAAGGTAGCATAGAGAATTTAAAAAGAATTCAAAAAGAATTCAAAAAAAATTTAGTCGTATGTCACCAATTCTGAGTTCATTTTCAGATGCAAAAAGAATTCTTCAAAGTTAAATTCAGTGAAAAGAATTCTTTTTGCATCTGAAAATGAACTCAGAATTGGTGACGTACGACTGAATTCTTTTTTAATTCTCTGCGCTATCTGGGACGTATCATTTAGAAACGTTTTCAGGTTTTACAAACGGTCATGAAACGTTACATATTTTTGGGTGACATTTGTAAAACCGATATGTTTTACTAATGCGTGTCATTTCAATTACAGTTTTAAAATTTTCGAATCGAATGCATTTTTCCTTCTTTCTCTCTCTTTTTTTCTCTCTTTCAATAACTAGCTTCAAATGCTTAATAAAACTGCCTCTCTAACATCATTTTCCGATGAAAAGATGTTTGTTACGTTAATTAATTGATGTTCTTTGGAAATAATTCTATATTTAAAAAAATTATAGGTCACGTCCGAAAGGGATTATATTCTTGAAAGATATCGTATACGATATTTCGATGAAAAGCTATATGTAATATGAACTATAGCTTTTCATGAAATATCGATATATCTTCGAGAATCAGAGCTCAGGTTCGAACATGTCTTTCTCAACATGAAATGACTTGTCCATCGATGTCGAAACGATGTCGATTTGACGGTTTCGACATAGAATCATTTTGACGTCAATCAACGAGTTACGCCACTTGCATATTTGTGCATCATGATTATCGACCGAAACAAATCACTTTTCTATCAATTATTTAAAGTTATTGATTATCACACAAATATCTGTGTATCTATTTAATACGAGAATGCTTGAATTAAAGATCGAAAGGCGTTAAAGACATTCGGTGAGTGCTCATAAGTCTCATTGTCATTTCGTCAACTCATAAGTCGATGTCATTTTTCAACGTTATTGTATCTCAAAGCTCTCTTCCTCAGGTAGGAATGCTCGAAATCCACCGAACAAATGCTCCCGTTTTATGCAATTTTAGATCCATTTTTTATCGCTAAACCGGTATGTACGCTTACGGACCTTTAAAAGAGAAACAGGCATACAGTTGAGACTTGGTGGAAGAAAAAGAAGAAAAGAACTAGTGCGAGTTAGCGCAGTTAGTTCAGCAATAAAAAACAGATCTTTTGAACTTGATCGTGCATGCTGCAATTTAGATATGGCGTGAAGGAAGGATTTCTTACTTCCGTAATATTTGTTGTACTGCCTGACTATGCCTTCCACGTACGCGGTGTTGTGTAAGCCGCGCGAAGCAATTTCGTCGTACACCAGGGCGATAATGTCCGGATCCTCGCCGAATATTCCGCGATTGAAGCACTTGACGATCGTACGCAGGTCCGAGTGGTTTATTAGAAATCGCAGCTTCTTCAGCAGAATTGGCGTCGAGAGAGTACTCAGATGTAAACGCCACGCGTAATCACACACACGCCGGACAATTCGCGAACGTTGTACTAATATACGCGTCAACGTAATTGCGATCTCGTATATGTTCTGCCTTACTTCGCTGAATGAGTCCTCTGTTACTTTTGTCATCTCACGCACAAGTTAAAACGGTCGCCGACTTGACGGACGCAGGATAATCGAGCTTTTAACGACGTTCAATATCGTAGAGTCGTGTTTATCGTGGTGATCTATCGCTACTTGTAGCGCGATTAATCGGTATCTTAAATAATACTGCAAAATAATATACTCGCGTTAACGATAACGACAAATTGATATAATTTGCCGCACGTCCGGAAATGTAAAACTATATCGATTTGTCGTCACTATTATGGCAAACGCTAGTTTTCAATGACACGTTACACGTTCGTACATATAAGCGCGGATATCACTCACACGATCAGAAAGGCAACAAGGATCACAGCAATGTAAACAGACTGCTGTCGTCCTTTCTAAACATCACGTCTACATGTCACCGCCGCGATGTGTATGTATATTCTTTAGTTTGCAAATTGCTTAGATAATACTTTCCTGCAAACAGCATGATGAAAAAAACGTAAATATCCATCAACCATTTCACAAGAGCTTTATTACAAGTAAAGTCATTTAGTGCATGAAGATAAGTGGAACATTTTAGAAGGGACTCTGATTTTATTAGTAACTTTCAGGTCCATTTTCCTCTGGAAGTTCTTCCATCCATCACAAATATTTTATTCTCAAATATATTCAACCCTTCCAAGAGGAATTTCTTACATTCTTTATTGACATTGACAAATTACTTCCGTCAATTTTATTATGCTCGCGACATTTCATTTCTCTCAGCTGAAGTTGCTGCGTCGAGCGATCGATACTTCTCGATACTTCTCGAACGTACGTATTATCGCAGTTCGAGAGACTCGATCACAGCTCTATAATCAGTTGCGGAACGGTTAACAGCGCGGTCGTGCAGGGGCTCGAATCGTGGCTTCGCATTTTCACAATTTCGCTCGTCCGAAATGTGTCTTGAGGGTCACAGTTGTCGAATTGCAAAGATAAGCCTCACGTATCTCTGGTGGCAAGATATTAATGAGAAATCGGTAGGAAAGAGCGAGTATCTTAGAGGATCGGTAAGTACCGACATAACAGAACTTTCATCTGAGATATCGACAAAGTAATACTAGAGACCATTTGTCTCACGAGATTACGCGCCTAATAACCTCATGTCGGTAAATATGTCGATAAAATATGTAAAATCAGTGTGGATGATAACTACAGAAATGCAGTTTCACAAAAATATTGAATATACTTGTATTTTTGTAGACGTAACAATGTATTTCTGTACACATAACGATAAAATATCAAGATAGTTGTAAATTATAAACTTAATATTTTGTTACGGTTTACATTATTCAGCGCGTAATACCTTATTACATGCTGAATGTCCAGCTATTTGTATCGGAGAATTAGAAATGGTCGATAATGTCATCCTTTCCTTTATCTTCGGATTCCTCAGGAATCCTTCGGACGCCTCTCAAACAGCATTCATGTTTCAAAGACGTCTTAAAGCATTTAAAGACGTTTGTTGTGTGGATTTTATCAGTATGAAAATTTACCTAGGGCTGATGGTCTTTAATAATATCTTGTTGGTGTCTGAAATTTTTGCATGTCGCGTCGCTCTTGCGACATGATCCTCTAATTATATGTATATCGTCGGTAATATCAGTGTTCTTTCATAACCTAATCTTTAACTTATTAAGTAATTGGGAAGTATCGACATTAGATTTGTTTTCTATTACTAAACTGTCTGAAATCTCAACTATTTTTAAGTTTCGCAAGAATATGATAAAAAAAACAGTTCAGTGATAAAAAAAATAGATCTATTGTTGGCGCAATGTCCTAACCAGTCCTAACCATATAATTCTAACAGTGCAATGCATTGGGCCAATATCGAATCTGTAGCGGCCAACCATTAGCTAACTAGTATATTCTTCTCGGGAACCATCTGAATGGTCTTATTAACATTTAATTACGCGTATTTAATTAAATTACACACAAAACATCTCTCTGGATAATAAGAAATTATAGTAGGAATGCTAATCATAAATTAGTTAAATTAATTATTGAGATATCTAACCGTTTATGTTTGTTATCGTGAAAAAAGACGTTGCAATTTGTCATACAAAATTTAACTTTTGAGGGCAAATTGTTACTTACCAGATTAGAAATCCTGCAAATTATATTTTTAAATAAAGGTAAAGATATGTAATAATACATACGGGTGCAGCGAGCAAAGTAATAAAGCTGCTTAAGGAAATGTGACAACCTGACACCGTTTGTGTAAGTTTTGACATACAGTCAGTTTATGATGTGATAGACAGTTCGAACATATACGTAGAAATAGTAAGGAGTTCAGTAACGTACATGAGTGTTAGTTTAGTGTAATGTGTCTGGCACACAGATAATACAGTCCCAGGTAGCATAGAGAATTCAAAAAGAATTCAGTCATATGTCACCAATTCTGAGTTCATTTTTAAATGCAAGAATTCTTTTCACTAAACTGAACTTTGAAGAATTCTTTTTATATCTGAAAATATACTCAGAATTGATGACATATGACTGAATTATTTTTTAATTCTTTTTAAATTCTCTGTGCTAACTGGGATCATAAGTTAAGTATAGGTAAGGGAGAATATACTATTAAGATATTATATATATATATATATATATATATATATATATATATATATATATATATATATCCCACTAATCATATATGTTATTGGATTCCTTACTACTTTGACGTGCATACGCGAATTGCCTATTACATTTACCAACATTGCATATAATACCCACATAGTACAGAGAATTCAAAAACAATTCAGTCCAATGTTACTAATTCTAAGTTCATTTTCAGATGCAAAAAGAATTCTTCAGAGTTCAGTTCAGTAAAAAGAATTCTTTTTGCACCTACAAATGAACTCAGAATTAGTAAAATATGGATTCTTTTTGAATTCTCTGTGTTATTTGGGTATAAAGTATACTAAAAAAGTTTCCTGATGCAATTGATAAGGAAACAATTTACATATTTTCTCTCTGACAATTTAAGTGAACAAGATTACAAAAAATTTTTCTATCAGAAAATATCTTCACGAATGATACATTGAATAGATCATAAAGAGATAGAGTTTTGTGGCAAAATTTTCTTTTTCACTATAGAATTGTGTCAGAAAAAAGATAGAAGAATTTTGCAAATTCTTTTACAATTTCTTTTTATATCTGTTGTAAATATTGACAAGATTATTAATTGCGTGTATCGTTATTATCAAGTTGAACTTAAGGAAACTGACACGATAAACTTTGAAACTTTTTAATCGAATTACAAATGGTGACAAGTTTTGCTAAATCCAAACGTTTATCCAATTTATCCAAACGTTTTATCGAAATAAAAATCGAAAAATCTGTTGACACGTTTGCTGCTCATCTCACGTGTCGTTTATATACACGGCACGTGGCGATGCGATTTCGTAAGACCGATTTAACTGTTGTGAGGCAACTATATTATCCGCTAAAACACGCTGAATGCGCTTCCACTCGTATCGGTTTCACTCTCATTTTTGCGGATTTTCCTATAATAACAGATTGCGTAAAATTGATCTTTAGCTACAAACGTGCACAACTATTTATAACCTCGCACATTTAAATTAATAATTAAAATTCGCTTAATTCATCGAGGACACGAGTTAAATGTAAAAGTAGAAACGAAAGAGAAGGTTGATTTGTAAAAAAAAGAACTAAAGAAGTATTTAAAAAAACGGCCGATGGAAAAAACAAATATTGATGACAAGTGCAAGTAATAAGCGTATAATAAGCATATGATATGTAATAATAAGCATATGATACGTTTGCTACGCTAAAGCTACGCACAATGTCGTGTTTTCATGATATGTCGTTACATATAAATTTGTATGCACTCGCTGTGTTCGTGGTCTTTTCGAGAACGTGTCTGCCTCTTTCGCTATTCTTCCACGAGAAGAATTACAGTAATGCTTACAGCTTGTTTTTACATAGTTGAGTTTCTCTTACACGTCATACGATCTCTACGTTTACATTCATCTAGTTTTGGTTAGAGATACCTTCGAGTATTTAATTGAACTGCGCTACAATATATGGTTTATGTCGTCCAGGGGTAGCACTTACATTTTCAGATAGATTGTGGGTAAAAAATCGATGTATATGTATATATGTATGGTGCTTTAATCTTCAACAAATATCGAGTTCGGAGTATATTTAAGTTTACGTAAGTTCCTATACAATCCCATAAAGATCCGTTATTTTGGACTAAATCATTCGCGAAGACACATTGATCTATCTCAAGTAAAATTAATCCAGTTTAATTGGAGAAACTTGTGTTAACAAGATATCAACATAACAATCTTATTGATAAATTTGATATTGGTAAAATTTAG